AATTTTATTAGATATGTGGTTCTCAAACTTTTGTGTATATCACAATTACTTGAAGACTTGTTAAAATACAGATTGCTGAGATCCCTGGTTTCAATAAAGGAGATCTGAGGTTAGGCTTAAGAATCTGTATTTCCAACAAGGTTCTAGGCAATACCGATGCTACTCATCTGGGGGTCACATTTTTAAGAATCAGCATATTAGACTTAGAGCCTGGGAGCTCCCTAAAGGGATGCAAATTTCAGGAAGACCTCTAGGCCTAAAATAATGCTGGTTATGGAGGAGCTACTTAATGCTTATACATGAGGCAGAGGGTTAATAAAAAATCTTTATTCCATTTGTATAAAGATAATGAGGCTATTTTTTATTGATTTATAATCATTTTACAATGTTGTGTCAAAGATAATGAGGCTATATTAAGAAATATTTAATATAAAATATGTAATAAATGTACTGAGCATTGTTATTATAAAATGTTACACACTTGAGATGCCAGGTTAACTTCTTTCCTATTATACTTTAGTATCTAGGTTAAATGAAACCACTGGAAATTAAATTCTTTTTTAAGAGTCTAAAGAATAAAAGTCAGATTCCATAGAATGATACAGCATTCTAGTCCCTGACCATCATTTCCCCTCATCTCCTACAAATCCTTAGATCCAAGCCATACTAAACCAACAGCAGGCTTTACAGTCAAGTAACATGTCTTTCAATTCCAGCCATGCTGGTTATTGGCCTCCATGATGATGCTGCGTTGATGATTCAGTGATGTTTAAATAATTAACTGTGACTAAAAGCCCAACTGTTATGCCTGTTCACTATACTATTCCTTTTTTTAATATATATATCTGGAATAAATCCAATCTCTAACACAGACATACATACTCACTTCCTACTGAATTCTTAATTCTTCAATGGTGAAACTCAATAATCCCTTTTTCCATATATCTTCAGGCAATGTTGATCACCTCACTTTGCTTGTCTCTACATAAACTTATACATACTTCTTATTTATTTTTCTTTAAAAAAAGAACATCTGAGTCATAATTTACATACAATACAATGTACCTGTTTAAGAACAAATTTTGACAAATTTATATACCCATGTTAACAGCCACTATAATCAAGATTTGGAGCATATCAATCTCCCCCCAAAAGATTCTGTTACACCTGTTTCCTCTGAACCAATCTCCCCAGTCCTACCCCAGGCAACAACTGTTTAAAACAATCATTTCTAGAATTTCATGTAAATGGAGGCACACAGTTTACACTCTGGAATTTTTTACTCAGGGCAAAGTTTTGTAAGCTATTTATTAGGGTTTAATTTACATATATAATCAAGTGAATCTATCTGAAGTGCTAGATTTGATGATTTCTGAAAGCTGTATATGTCCAAAAAACCCACCACTACAACCAAGATACAAAAAATTTGTCACCTCCAAAACATTCCTCGTCCTCCTTTGCCATCCACCTCCTCACACAGTATATACTCTCCTGCATGTGGCTTCTTCAGCTTAGCTTGACTTTGAGATGTGTCTGTTGTTGTGTCTATCAATAGTTAATTCCTTTGCATTGTTGAATATTATTCTATTATACGGAAATACCGTGTTTAGTTTATCCATTCACTTGTTGAAGTTATTTGGGTTGTTCCAATTTGGGGTTACCGTGAATAATGCTGGAGCAAATACTGGTATATAAGTCTTTTTTGTGAATAGATGTTTTTGCTTCTCTTGTGTAAAGAATGAGGGGTCAAAGAGCTGAGTTGTGAGGTTGTAAAGTTGACCCTTGAACAACTTGGGTTTGAACTGCAGGGGTCCACTCACAGGCAGATTTTTTTTCTATAAATACTACAATGCTGCACGATCCACTGTTGGCTCAATCCATGGATGTGGAACCATGGATTTGGAAAGCCTCTTTGGGACTCAAGCATCTGAGGATTTGGGTATCTATAGTGGGTCCTGGAACCAACGCCTCAGGCTGTTCAAAGGTCAACTGTGTATGTTTAACTTTTGAAGAAACTGCAAAACTGTTTCCCAAAATGGCTGTACCACTTTAAAATCCTGTAAGGAATGTATGTGAGATTTCCAGTTACTCTACAACCTCACTAGCCCTTGTGAGGGCTCACTCTAATGGGTATGTGACAGTATCTCATTATGTTATCAATTTGCATTTCCCAGATGACTATGTTGAGCATCTCTGCATGTACTTATCAATTTTTTTTCTCTTTCTAAATATTTAGCTCATTTTTTTTAAATTTTGAGGTTTTATCTTACTGAGTTGTACAGTTCCTTTTTCAAATGTATTACAAGTTACTTTCTTTCAGTCTGTGGCTTGCCTTCTCATTTTCTTAATATTTCAAAGAGCAAAAGTATTCATTTTAGCAAGGCCCAATTTATCAAATTTTTTTAGGTTTATGGCTCAAGTATTCTGCATCCTATTAAAAAAATTTTTTTTGCAGTACCATTTGTTGTAAAGACTTCTTTTCCCCCACTGAACTGCCTTGTCACCTATGTGGAAAGCTAACTGACTATATAATCAGATCTATTTCTGGGTCATTCATTTACATATCTATCCTATACTATTACCACATCACCTGGCTTTCTCTAGCTATTTTACAGTCAGCTGGTCAGTTTAAAAACAAAAACAAAAACACACAAATCCTACTGGACTTTAATTTGAATCTACAGATCAAATGAGAACTGACATCTGAACATTAAATCTTCTAATCTATTAACAGTCTGTTTCTCCATTTATTTAGGTATGTTTTAATTTCTCTCAGCGAAGTTTTCCAATTTTTCAGTATACAGGACTTATATATATTTTGTAAAATGTATCCCTAAACATTTCATGTTGATGCAAATGTTAATGGCATTCTTTAAAATTTTGATTTTCATTTATAGAAGACAGAAAACACAACTACTTTTTAATACTGACCTTGTAGCTAAACTTGGATTATTCCCACTAGCTTTTTTAGATTCTTTTTTTAAACACGTGTGCTCATGTGATCTACAAATACAGAAAGCTTCAGTTTGTTTTTTCTAATTTATATATGCATTTTTTCTTGTCTTATTGGACTGGCTACAAACTCCAGAGAAACACTGAATTAAAAAGTGTTGAGAACAGACAATCTTGCCTTGTTACCAATCTTAGTAGGGGAAGAATTCAGTCGTTCACCATCATGTATGATGTTAGACAGGCTTTCCATATACACACTTTATCAGGTCAAGGAAGTTCCCCGCTCTTCCTAGTTTACTGAGGTTTTATCATGGATGGGGCTGAACTTTTCATCAAATGCATTACTGGACCCACAGATATATACTGATCTTTTCCTTTATTGATAATACAGTGAGTTTACATTGATCGGTTTTTGTAATGTTAAACAAACCTTCCCTTTCTGAGATAAACCCTCATCACAGTATACTACTGAATCCTATTTTTTCAGTATTATGTTAAGGATTATTGCATCTACATTCATGAGGGATATTTATCAGTAGTTTTCTTTTTTCCTGTAATGTCTTTGATTTGAATAATGCTAGCCTCAAAAGGGAGTTGCAAAGTGTTTCCTCCTTTAAATCTTCCTGTTATCCTTCATATGGCCTTGTAGTTTTCTCTGTGAGAAGGTTTTAAATTATGAATTCAACTTTGTTAATATGTAGCTATCAACATTTTTCTATTTTTTTCCTTGAATCTATTTCGACAATTTGTATTTCTAAGGAATGTGACCATTTCATCTAAGTTGTAGAATTTTTTGGCACAAACTTGTTCATTCTCTCTTACTAGTTCATCATCATAGTTGATGGGCACTTGAGGGGCAAAGCAGTAAAATACCATTTTTACCATTGAAAATGTTATTTAAAAAACATGCTGTCTTTTCCCCCTCCCCTATACTTAACTTCCCAGGGAAAAATGGAGTAATAAGTGATGCTAGTGGCTAATACAGCCTGACAATGAGGTTCAAATGCTCAATACAAATCAAGATGTTAATTAATATGAAAGCAAAAATGCACACAATGCTGAACTGTATAGATTATGTCTGCTAAACAGTACAGCCTAGAAGTAGATGGGGCCTCCATGTCATCCAGTTCATCCCTGGCCTTCCAGTCAAGTTTTCAATGGACAAACATATATACTTCATTTTTAAAAACTGGAGGAAACTACAGTGTTTAAAAATTCTTAGTTACTAGTTACCATTTAAACCAAAATGCCAATATTATAAAATTGACTTAACAAATCAGTATTTTTCAAAATTATCAATAAAGGAGAGTATGTCAATTATGTGACAGTCTGTGTTGCTCTGTATCTTGATTCATTAGTAAAGGGGAAAAAGACACACAGACATGCTTTACCATGTCATAATTTTTCAAATACACTACTCATCCTTGCCGCCAAGTATAAAGTTCTCAGAATAATTACTAATGATCCAACCTAACCCATTATGCAAAAAAAATTTTTTTAAATATCCTAGTTCAGCAATGTTTCCATGTGAATTAAACCTAGCAACACTGATTTGAGAGGTCAGCTATAAAATCAAACCCTTTAACACTCACCTCAAAAATTGTAATATATACTTTACACATGAAAATTAAATGTCATGAAAATTTTAAAGCTCTACCATTAAAGCCTTGTAACTTTCAAAACAAGGTCTTCCCAAAACAAATGTTCCCAAAACTCCTGCTAAAGAAGTCTAAGATTAGACCGTACCCAAAACATTAAAAGAGAGACAGGAGTGGGCGGGGGGGAGTACAGGAAAAGGGGACACTAGGGGATCTCAACATATTTACAAACTTTTTTTCTAGGTTGTTCTCAACCCTCCCTACTCAGCAGAGTCACCTTTTCAGATGCTTTTAAAATGAGGTGTTCAGGCTCCACATACCAAACTAGAGTCTTTAGGGACAATGGACCATATATCTTTATTTTTCAAAAGCTCCTTTACTAATTAAAATGCATAGCCATCCTGAGAACTGTTAAACAGGAAGGTTACTATTTAGATTTTAAACAAATACCTTGATCTGCTGTCTCCGTAGCATGGCAAGTTCTCGCATGTCTCGGAATGGCTGTAGTAAATACTGATAGAGTTCGGTTGTGGCTTCTGCAAGACTGCTGTAGGCTTCATCCTCCATCTGATACAAGTCCAGAAGCTCTACCATGCTCTCTGTATTCTTGTGCTTATCCAAGAGCTGTGGAACAAGAAAGTTTCACTACAAAGAAATCCAATTGTAATAGCCTATAAATACTTGCTAACTGCCTAGCATCTGAGGACCTTGGAAACCTGAAACACAGAATTAAGACAGAATGAGAAGCACCAATTGCTTTCATCACTCATCTCCATGCCTTAGATCTTTTACTACAAGACCACTGTCTGGAATATCCTTTTCTAACTACTACTATTACCATACTATTCCGGGTTCTGTGTAACTTTCTGGAACTCAGTACTATCTGCCTTTCCTTAACTCTAAAAATTTTTCCCCAGCATCTAGTAGCTTTCTCCATATTTATATAAAAAAATTTTCACTTCTAATCTACAAAGTAGTTATCAACTCTTGCCTTTATTATTTTATTAGTAATTTATTTATTAGTAATTTATTTTATTTATTAGTAATTTCCCCAAACCTTCTTGCCATTCCTTTCCCCCTCCAAGTTTGGAACATTTGACTTATGTCTTCAAAAATCTAGGTGAAAACTCAACATACCGAGGAGTTTAAGACTGACTATAATTGATGTTTATAACTTTCTTACTTGACATTCCTTGGTACTCATGTGTGTATGTTTATATATAGATATCATTCATTTCTCAACAAACATAGACTGAGCATTTTAATACACGTTAGGCACTGGGCATACAAAAATATGCTTCCCTTCTTCATGGAGTTTACCATGTAGTAAATAAACAAACTAAATAAAGTTTTAAAAAAATTACAAACTTTGATAAATGTTATGAAAATTATTAAATTTTAAAAAGTAAAGAATAATAGTAATACAGCGAAACAATGGATCCCATGATTTCTCAGGAATATGAGGTGAGGAGATGGTGAGAAACCATGACCTAGTTGTTCAGGGTAGGTTAGAGAGAAAAGGCTATCCATGGAAACTTAAAATAAATTTCAAAGAACCTCTCAATGAACCATGTAGCAAAGCACTATTTTATGTACTTCTTGGTGTCCACTGACTTGTGATACTTTCATCTCCTCAAACACAGAAAATTCTGCTATTCTTTCTCAGACATAAAGTTTCCACTACTTGGGGAGGGTACAGCTCAGTGGTAGAGCACATACTTAGCATACATGAGGTCCTGGGTTTGATCCCCAGAACCTCCATTAAAATAAACAAACCTAATTACCTCACCGTCCAAAAAAATTAAAAATTAAAATAAATTTAAAAATGCTTAAAGAAGGAAAAAAACAAAATAAATAATAAAAAATAAAGTTTCCACTAATATCTTCCCTCCCAACTTCTTGCTTTATCATATTGTTGTACATATTACAACTGACCTTTGAACAACTATAATATGGGGTTAGGGGCCCTGCCTAGTCAAAAATCAGAATATAACTTTACAGACTACCCTCCTTCCCAATCTACAGTTCTGCATACAAGTATTCAAAAACTGAAATACATAGGTATAAATCTAATTATGCACAGGATCTAAAGGAAAAGTACACAACTGTGATGAAAGAAACCAAAGACCTAAATTAAATGGAGATACATGGAGTGGAAAACTCACTACTGTCAAGATGTCAGTTCTTCCCACCTTGATCTATAGAATCAATGCAATGCCGTTTAAAATCTGAGCAAGTTATTTTGTGGATATCAACAAACAGATTCTAAAATTTGTATGGAAAGGCAAAAGACCCAGAATAGCCAACACAATATTGAAGAACAAAGTCAGAAGAATGACACTCTCCGTTCAATTTCATTAGTTACTATAAAGCTACAGTAATCAAGACAGTGTGGTATTGGATAAAAGAACAGATTAATGGAATAGAGTCCAAAAATAAACCCACACAAATAGTCAAGGAATCTTTTGACAAAAGAGCAAAGGCAATTCAATGCAGAAATCACTTTTCAACATATGGTGCTGGAACAAATGGAGAAGGAACGAAGGGAGAAAGGGAGGGAGGAAAGGAGGGAGGGAGGAAAGGAGGGAGGGAGGGAGAGAGGAAGGGAAATCTACAGAGACCTTAAACCTTTCACAAAAATTAACTCAAAATGGATCATAGATCTAAATGTAAGATACAAAGCTATAAAACTATTAGATAAAAATATAGAAGAAAATCTACATAATTGTGCTTTTGGTAAAGTGGACTTTGTTAAAATTAATAACCTCTGATCTATAAAGGATACTATATCAAGAGAATGAAAAGACAAGAGTAGGAGAAAACACTTGCAAAACAGTTTTTATAAAGCACTATTTTGCAAAATACACAAATTCCTAAAACTCAGTAAGAAAACACAATTTTAAAATGGGCAAAAAAAAAAAAACCTGGAAAAGACCTCTCAGAAAAAGATATACAGATAGCAAGTAAGTATAGAAGGAGATGCTCAACATCCTACCGTAATTTGGGAACTGCAATTAAAATGATGAGCTACCACTACACACAACACCAAATACTCATGAGGATGTGCAACCACCAGAACTCCCACTGCTGCTGGTGGAAATGTATTCTGACACACTGTTGTAAGGCACATACATATTAAGGATTATTAGACATCTCTTTAGAGAATTAACCTTTTTATTATGTAATGCTCCTCTTTATGCCTGATACATTTCCTTGCTCAAAAGTCTGCTTTGTCTGAAATTAATATAGCTACTCCAACTTTCTTTTGATTTGTATTAGTAACGTGTATCTTTCTTATAAAACTAAATATATTCTTAACATATAATCTAGAAATCACACTTTTTCATATTTACTCAAATGAGTTGAAAACCTTATGTCCAAACAAAAACCTGCACATGAGTATTATAGGAGCTTTATTCATAACTGCCAAAACCTGAAAGCAACCAAGATGTCCTTCAATAGGTAAATGGATAAACAAACTATGGTACATTTATAGAAAGGACTATTTAGCAATTAAGAAAAATGAGAAGCGAAACCAATCTGAAAAAACTATGTACTCTATGGTTCCAACTATGACATTTTGGAAAAGGCAAAATATGGACACTAATAAAAATCAGTGGTTGCCAGCGACTGGAGAGAGGTGTCACACTCTAATGAATATATGGAATATAGGGGATTTCTAAAGCAGTGAAATTGTTATGCATGATACTGTAATGGTGGATACATGACATCCATTTGTTAAAATCTAGAAAACTGTACAACACAAAGAGTGAATTCTAGTGTAGCCTATGGACTCTAAATGATCATAATATATCAACACTGGATTATCAACTGTACCAAATGTACCACACCAATACAAGATGTTAACAACAGGGGAGACTCTGGACAAGAGAGAAAGAGTAAATGGGAACTCTGTATTTTCTGCTCAATTTCTCTGTAAACCTGAAAGTGATAAGATAGTTATTAATTTTTAAAGTGAAGATACAAACCTATTTAAAGACACAGTTTTGTATTTCACTGTTTTTAAAATATAACCAAAAATGATTAAAAATAAATTCACAGTAACCAATTAACACTGATTTTCATCCCTGCTAAGCCCTATTGTTTTAAGGGGATCAGACCAATGTCTTTCTGCTTTGTTAACAAGTATTTTTTGGTAGGTTGGTTTTGTTTGTTTTTTGTTTTTAATAGAGGTCAACTTGAACAAAAAAGAATCAATTCAGACATCAGTCATATTAACAACTGATAACACATGAATTATTTACAGATGTGGACAGAAGTCCAGACCAAGTGGAATCTTACTTTATGCTAAAAGCAAAGAGATGCCATTAAAGGTTTTTTGTTTCGTTTTTCCTTCAAAGACCTCACTGGTTCCAGGGAGGAATACAGTCTCCCAAGGAAGAGAATCTTGACCTGTACTCTGAAGGATAAAAAGGGATAAACTAGGCAAGGTGTAAAGGGAAGATTGGGTCAGAAAGAATGGCATGTCCCTAGCTACCATAAAATAACGTTAACAAACTGGAGTAGAGACAGCATAGGAACATAATGAAAGACAATTCTAGAGACACTAACAGACGTGGTGGCCCTAACTTATACTACAATGTCTGAGAACCGATTGGAAGGGGCACCAGAGTGGATGCATATATCAGTTCATAGTCTCCTGTGTCAGTCCATGACAAGTTGGTGGTAAGCTTCGACTGGAGGAAGAGAAAAGCACACATTCAAGAAATGCTTTGGAGATAAAATCAACAGGACTTGGTGAACGACTGGATTTTTCCCTTTACCCTAAAGTTTTTGGTATTCATTGATACAAAGAACACAAGAATAGAAACAGGTTTTTAGAAGCAAAGATCACGGATTCAGAGACACTGCATCCAAACTGCGTTTTAGATATCCATGAAGAGAGGTCATGTAGGGAATGCAAAATGTCCAAGATAGATACTACCTTTAAGTCTACAATCTAACTAGGGAAACAAACCAACAGACATATAAGTAAAATACTGACTGTAAAAGTTTAGAGAAAAGTTGGTTCAGAGTGGGCTAAAGCACTTGAAAAAGATGTTCTAAAGCTAGGATTTGAGCTGGGTCTTAAAAGGATGGGAAGTGCTAGACAGGTGAAGGAGAGCAACTCAATCTTGAGAAATCACATGAATAAAAGCATCACAGATAAGCAATCTGGATGGGAGGAAGGGGGTGGCAATTTCCATCATGCCCCCTGAAGTAGAGGGTATGCCCTAGTGAGCAGGGTATCACATTGGTTCTGTAACTGCAGCACATTCTAATGAGGAGTGAAACCATCTATGGAGCAGAAAGAAAGATGCATTAGATCAATGTGACCAGTTTAATTTTCAGTTCACAAAGTTCAACTTACCTAAATAACCATATCAAAGTGATGCTCATTTGTGTATCTGGTTACTTGAAGTATGGTCTCAGCAAATGTTAGAAATACAGAACCTCAGGGCCCACTCCAGACCTACAGAATCAGAATCTGAGTGCATAATGAATACGCACAGCCAAGTTTGAGAGGTACTGCTTCAACAGATACATTGTATAGCCATATTAACTATACTGTGAGGCAAAAGTCTGTAAGTTATACAAGATATGGTCAATTTTCAAACTTTCAA